GGTGGGTATTCTGTTTGTAATAATTGTTTGGATACACTATGTTTTTAATATGCTAGTTGTGATAATTCCATAGCCATATTTTATGTTCCTAAAGTAACAGAATGACTTTCAATCTGGAAAAGAAAAAAGAAGTGCTAATGTGGCATTTTTTTCAATTTTTCCAAAAATTTCCGTTTCCCCTGGAATAAAAACCGTGGTTTTTTCCCGAGCTTCAAAATTTCCGGAAATTTTACATCTCTAATACTAACCAGGGCCGAGCCTGCTCAGCTTCCAAAATCTGATGAAATCGGGCTAGCTTGGGCCATCCAGCAGAGACAGAGAGAGGCGGTTAGCCATGGCCTGCCTCTGCTTAGTGAGCCTGGGCTTCCTGGGTGGTCTCCCATCCAAGGACTAACCGGGGCCAGCCCTGCTCAGCTTCCGAGATCAAACAAGCCTGGACTAGCCTGGCCCGTACAGGTCAGGGCACCTCTACTCAAACCACCTCTACGCTCACTGGGGAAATAAGTGCACCACGCCTGCAATGTTCATCACAACTGCTGCTTGTAAAACGCCTGCAACTGCTCGTGGTGAATAAAATGCTGAAGGTTCATGGGAATCACATCTGCCTATCCCAGCTGTGGGATCAATGAACTTACACAGCGGCTTTGCATTATGTCAGACCGATGGCCCGTCCTGCCCAATGCAGAGCAAGGAGCAGCTCCCTGGGACCTGAGGCTGAATTCTTTCCCAGCTCTGCTGCCTGAGATCAGTTTTATTGTAGGAAGTTGAGCTTGGGCCCCTTGCCTGGCGGAGCACGCATTCCACCGCTGAGCTCTGGCACCTGAAAGATGGGCCACAAACAGGCCCGTCCCAGCGAGGAAGACAATCAAGCGGTCTGTCCTGGAACAGGGTGGGTGCGGGGGCAGGATCGCGCAGTCAGTATGCAAGCTAGGCGAGGAGAAGGCACAAACCGGTACAGTGTGATCGGAGACAGTTCCTGAGTCGTATACGGGGTTAGCAATAAGAGCAGGTCTGGGGCAGATCCAAAAGACGAGGTCCAGAGGCAGCCCAAGAGTCAAAGTCACAAGGCAGAGGCGGAGAGGTCAGGGGTAATGCGATGCGCTGCTTCCACAGCCCGTCTCTCCCTCTCTCTGCTATTTATAGGAAGGATGTTCACCTCACAGCTGGGTTGCATTATGCAGGTATGCGCGTTCTCCTCCTTACTACCTAGACCCAGGTGTCTCTGGACTGCTAATCACACACTTCATCTTCTCTCCAGCATTTGGACCCTCCTTTGTCAACATTCCAGGGGTTCTGGAGATGAGGGAGGCGAGGTGGGTGGTGGGGCGCTATCTGGCTCTGAGCCCTGGACCTGAACAGCTGGAATGCTACTGTGAGAACTGTCACTTGGCTGGGCAGCAGAAGCTCCCCGTAGCAGGTTGGCAGTCACTGAGTGTGAGCTGGGACCTCCTTCACCTGCCTGTTCCTTTTTCCCAGAGTCCTCTGGCTTCCCCAGGGTTGGCGGAGTCTGCCTGATCCATGACATAGTCTACCCGAACCTATGGTATGATCTAAACAGGTATTCTACGACTTGGAAAACGTTAGGCAGCGATCAGAGCCTGTTGTGTGCATGTGTGTCTGTGTGTGCATGTATGCGCGCGTGCTTCCCACCCCTTGATAATATCCCTGGTGGAAAGAGCAAGTATTGGGAAGGGGAGGATGACAGGAAATCAATTATCTCTTTAGACAAAGAAGACAGGGATGGGAAATGCATGCAACCGGGGCATCTCTGAACAAAGGCATCCATTTATCTGCAGGGTAACCTGATTAGTCAACAGCAGACCCAGCAAAACCTGGTAAAATTAGACAAGCCCGCTGTTTGTTGGGGAAAGGGGTGGGGGGAGATTTTTATTTATTTTTATCTCCTTTCTGTTTACCCTGCTTGTACATTAGCATGTTAACTTTTTTTTTAATGCATAAATATTTAAATTACATTAAAATCAATGGTGAGAGAAAACTGATAGCTTGACTTTGGAAGAAGATCTCAAGAGGGCAACTAAGGAGGCCCAGCAGCTGTTGCAGGGAGGGAAAGCGGAAGGTGGTTCTCGGTCCCACCCCACGGGCCCGTGATCCTAGCGCAGCCTTTCTGGGTGGTCAAACTGGGACCCTTCCTTCCCCCTTTCGCCCTCTGGATAGCTGGCTGGATCCAGATCTCTGACTCATCAAAAACACATTAATGCCGCATAGCCAGTGGTGCCAGTGGACACCAGGGAGACACTCTGCCTGTCAAAGTGCGCTGCTGGGAGGCCGGGGGGGGCCGGGGGGGAGGAGGCTGCGTCATGCAGTGAAGCCTTTGGCTTCTGAATCTGCCCCCCTCTGCCAAAAGCCACATCGGCCTCCAACCAAGTGAGCCAAACAATGACTTCTCTCTGCCTCCCACAAACTACAAGCATGGGTGTCCGAATAAGAGTCCCAACACTGCTGAGCGCTGAGAGAAGACGGCGCTCCTCAAAATTTCGTTTAGCCCTCAGCTGGCCCAGATTCTCTGACAACACCGGCGAAATGCTCCCTCTAAGCTGTGGAGTCGTGCGAGCAAACATTCTACTTTGTGAGCGACTGGCATTAAAGTTGTGAGCGAGCGATTTGGCTGCTGCATCAATTAGACTCCTCTGGAGCCCTCCTTCCTGAGCGAAGGCAAAAAGGTGTGAGCTGGAGGCTAAAAAACTGTGAGCTGGCTCACACTGACTCAGCTTAGAGGGAACACTGCGCAGCGATGCCGGCTCTTCCCACTCGGCATGTGTAGAATCTGTCCCGAGAGAGAGAGCAAGAGCACTGCTGGTACCCTCATGGGAGCCGCATGACTGGAAGCCAGGGAAAAGTGTTCCTGGCAGCGGCTAATGGGCGGTCTGTCTGCCCCATAAACAGTTTACAGATGCTATGAGCTAGCGGC